ACCTTGGTATCCACCCAAAGGACAGAAGAATGCTTAGTCAGAAATGTGCTTGCACATCTTTGTTTATTGTGGCATTATTCACAATTGCTAACACATGTAAACAACCCTAATGACGACAAGCAGATGAGTGGATTGAAAAAGTGTGGCACATATACTCCGTAGAATACTACTCAGCCATAAAATACTACAAGACCCTGGCATTTGATAGAAAGTGGATGAACATGAAAGATTTACTGCTAAGTGAAGCAAGCCAGCCTATGAAGGAGAGACACTGCATGTCTCCACTTAATATATACTGACTGTCTACACTCTATGCTGAAACTGAATGATTAGAGGATATAGAAACATAGAAAATGGTTATAGATATCAGGTACAGTCTTAGAAGACGGTGGGAGAAGTGGGAGAGTCTGAGGAAAGACATTAAGGAGAAAAATATAGAAGCAAGACATTTATGGGACAAAGAAATGGGTTATTATGTGTTGATGATAACATGTATAGTATCCCCAACTGGACTGGTGATAAATGTATTCATGGTGGAACATTCACATTACAAACTAAATAACAAATGTGATTGAAAGTATAAAAGAAATTAAAATAAAATAAATTTAAAAAATTAAATACAGAATACGGAACCAGCATGTGGTGTAATGTTTATGTCACTGGACTCCTCCATGATTGAGCATGACGTGAGTCCCCGACTCAGAAGCTTGAAACGCACACCAGGTGTATGTGTGTACATGCCCAAAATCCTGAGAGTAGAATGGAGGATAAGGGATTGTGGCATGGCCATCATCCCCAGAACAGATATCTCAGGCTAAATTTTCCCTGTCCTCTCCATAACTAGCCCTACTTTCTTCTAATATCTTACTTTGGCCCACATAAAACCATCCCGTGAACTAGCAATGTCTGATGACCGACCATCTATACTTACATTCACCTATGGCAGATTAAACAGCTCTGCATGACTGGGCACCTCAATCCTTAACACCTTGCCAATAGTGAGAATGACAGAAAGACTGGGGAAATTGTGCTCTACTTCTCTGACAAGTTTGAGTATTGGAAGCCACGTTGTATTCTTCCTGTATTTCTAATTCCCACTCTTCCTTTTTCTAAAGGATCATTTTACCATCCTCCATTAAGTACACATTCTCCTTAATTTACTCCCTTTACTCCTCGCCTTTCTCATTCTCCATTCCCTCCTTTACTCCTTTCCTGGTCTTTATTTCCTCAGATCTTAGTGTGTCTTGCAATAGCAATACAACTAAGAAGTGAGCTCCTTTAGTGGCTCTCTGTCTACGCTGTTGAAGACACCTGTTAAGATATACAACTTTTTACCATTTCACTTCTCTTTTTCATTACTGTGCATTTAATAGGTGACTTTCTTTGGCTATTAGAATATATCAGTGTTCATATTGTTAACAACATACTATCAAATGATTTTTCGTAAAACGAAATCCTTACCTTCCTGTTGCCTATGTGCTTTATTTGTTCCTTTTTGGTCTATAGCCCCAGAGGAAGAGCTATCACACATCAATGAAATACTACTGGTGATGCACTGTTAAAATTAATATCAATAATGAGTTGCATAAAGATTTCCTAATCATTTCACAAACTAAATCATGTATAGTGATTGAATATGTAAATAATAATAGTAATAAATTCAATGGTCATTTTCTAATAAAATATTTGATTTTTCTATTTTAAAAGCAATTAGACTTAAAAAGATATACTAAAAACTACAACATTTCAATAGAGAACAGCAGGCAGACATGCTCCCACCACCAACCTTATCTTTTATTTTCATACAGTTCCTGCCTCTGTATCCTTAGCACAGAAGGCTACAGGCAACATACTCATGACAATGATACCCATGTGCATATTTTAACAAAGAACTGGCTTCAGAATACCTGTCCCCTCTAGTTCACATTCCCCACCAATAATAGGAGAATACTTTTTAAAATACATATGTAGGAACTAACAGATGGTATAATGGGTATGTCACAAAACTCCCTGTGGCATAACTGTGGTTTTAGTCCCAGACCCAGTGGCTAGAAACTCACATCAGGCACATGCATGCCCCAAATCCCAAAAGGATAATGGAAGAGAAGGAATTGTGGCATGGCCAGTCCCCCTGAGGGGTGATTTCTTGCTTTCTGTCTCTTTCCATATCTCTGGTGAATGTGCATGCCTTATAACAAAATTAAAAAAAAACAACACCACATTTAAGTAAGTCCTTTAATAAGTAGACTTAGTATAATATCTACAGCATTAAACATTTAAAATATTTCTGTTTTGTTGGGACCAGCAGATGGTGTAATGGCTAGGTCACTGGACTCCCATGTAGTTGACTGAGATTCAAGTCCTGGACCCAGTGGCTTAAACGCACACCAGGCATGTGTGAGTGCAGGCCCAAGATTCCAAGAGAAGAATGGAGGAGAAGGGATTGGTGGCGTGCTCATACCCCTGAGGGGTAATGTCTCACTTACTATATCTCTGTGTCTCTCTGTCTTTCTGGCAAACAAATGCACCCTATAGCTAAAACCTCTCCAAATTAATTAATTAATTAATTAATTAATTAATTCTGTTTTGATTGCCCCTGAGGGGAGTTTGTCAATGCAGCAAATACTTCTTCACTCTCCTCTCAGGATTTTGGGCATGAACTCACATGCTCCCAGTGTATTTTTCAAGCTGCAGGGTCTAGGACTCAAACCATGCAGTTGGTAAGCAGGATACAGTCATCTTAACTGCCATGCCACCTGGCTGGCCCTGAAATATTTCTAATGTTGGAAAGTTTTTAGCATTACAATCAGGTAGTTGGCATGATGGAAAACTTGAGAGGTTGTCATGTTGGGCACAAATAGATCACTGTAATAGTTGTTTCATTTAGGTCAACAAGGACTTGAAAAATACCTATTTTTTTCTTCAAACTTTGCCAAAATGCACAGGTGCTCACCAGAAGGAGACAGGGAGAGAGGGAGACCACGAGAAAGCATCCCCTATGGGGAATGGTCATATTGCAACCCTTTCTTTTTTTATCTCACCCCTTTTGGGGTTTTGGGCATGCCTTCACACATGCCCACAGTGCTTCTCAAGCTGCTGAGTCTGGGAGTCAAACTACATGGTTGGCCATGTGAGATCCAGCCAACTTAACCAACAAACCACTAGCTGATTGATAAATATTCTTTGATAAAAGTTTAACTGATAGCAAAACTGGCTGAGTATAATGACAAAGCTGTCAAACAAATTACATAATATTTATATAATAGGAATCTCTTTCTATTTATTTTATTTTAATTTCTTTTATACATTCTATCACTATAGCATCACTTAGCTTATAAAGTGAATTTTCCAACATGAATGCATTTCAAACCAGTCCAGTTGGTGATACTATACATGAACAGATAATTAATTTCTGTGTCCTATAAAAGTCTTGCCTATTTTCTCCTTAATGTCTTTCCTCAGACTCTCCTCCTTCCCCTACCCCCTTGTCACATTATACCCCATATCCATAACCATTGCCCACATTTCTATATCCTCCAATCATTTACTCTCAGCCATAGAGTGTGGACAGTCATTATATGTTCAGTGGAGACATACAGTGTCTCTCCTTCATAGCCTGGCTTGCTTCACTCAGTAGGAAATCTACCATATTGGTCCACTTGCTATCAAAAGCCAGGTTCTTCTTCTTCTTCTT